ATTACCCAGCTGAACAGTGTAAATGAGGCTATTCGGCTGAAAGACCTTATAGAGGTGGTCAAGTCATCTTGCTCCACGACAACACGCCCCATATTGCTCAAGTCGTCACAACAGCACTCCAAGAGCTTGAATGGGAGGTTCTTCAGCATCTACCGCACTCTCCGGATCTTGCACCTGCCGACTATCACCTTTTCCGCTCTATGTTAAACCCAATGAGGGGTGTTACCTTCGATGGCGAAGGGGACCTTAAAAACTGGCTCAACAAATTCTTCGACACCACACCGGCCGATTTTCGGCGAATCGCCATCAACAAATTGGTCGAGAGATAGGAGGAGGTCGTGAACAGTAACGGAGGATACATCATTGGTTAATTTATTATTATAATTATTGTTTTTTGGTTCAGATAAATCCTTGTGAAAAACTCTACGAACTTATGTTACAACCCAATATTAGTGTAGCTATGCACTCTCCAACTTCTCTCATCTTGCTCCACGGCATAGTCATTTATTCGAAATGTGAACTGAGTCATCACATATATTCCTCGAAGTTTGAACGCTTTTACGTACTCGAGGGAACCAGATTGTAAAAAACGGCTGAACTGTTTTAAACCTCTTCCGTAGGGTTATCTATTTCGGATTTAGCTCCGCCGTCTTTCATTCCCTCACAACCTGCCATGTCTTCTCTGCCTACACTAGACCCTGCTCACTTTTTCCCTTCGTCACAATTTTTTTGAGCAGGAGTGTGAGTTTTCGGTTCTACCTCCATCCACTTGGGAACATCTGTTATATCGTAGTGGTCGGGGTGCCCGAACACTATGGTATAATAGATGTTCCCAACCTCTGACTAGTCCAACATGCTTTCAATTTGGCTGGGCCTTGCGTCTTCCTACTCAGGTAGCGCTTAATCCAGCTCAACTCCCAGCTCATATGTGTTCGAACAACTTGTTTCTGTCCATACTAATTTCAACTTAAAGGCATAGTTCACAAAAAATGGTTTCTGGAGTTCCTCCATAGAATGATTTCGAGGCCCCTCCTGATAGCATATGTGCCGATGTCAGGTCGAGAAACATTCTGAATAGGGCACAATAAGGGGCCAGCATCGTGTGAATGCTACACCTACAGCGGACGAGTCTCAACGGTTTTGTAGAGGCTGCACAATCTCAAGGGCTCCCATATTGGAAGTGTAAACAACTTGTCAACCCATAGCGACGGTGGGAGGCAGTTTTAGACAACTTGGAGTTGATAAGTAAACTCTTTCCACAATTATAGCAACTAAAATCTCGTCCAAATACCCCTTTCACGCCATTTCCTCCGCGGTATTCTCGTACAACCTCTATTTCCACTACTTTTGGAACGCTTCATTGTTCGTGAAGTAGACGGAATCTCTCGCTTTCTCCCCCACCGATGCACTATTCTATACCAACGTTACCTCATTTCAACTCAAAAAGGGTTTCTCAAAATTCTCGTGAACTGTGCTTTAAGTATGCATTTCACTGCCCCCTGTAGGCGAGTTCAGTCAGCCACTTACTGGCAGTGTTCCCATCATGCTGCTTGTATCGCATCCGAATTCGAACCAATGATAATATTTCTTTTTCCGTCTGTGCTGTTGTCACTTCTCAAAGGTGGCATTCGGTTCTCACACATCTCTCCTGAAGATATGTTGAGCGTACAAAGTAAGAATAGCGATTGGGGCTTGGAAGACCATGATCAGGGGAGGATTGTATATTTTTGTTTTAGAGCCTATGTTCGAAAAAAAACCTGTCTGTTGAGTGAATATCGGACTCGAATGCGGATGAAAAGAAATTCTATCGAAGGGCATAATCTAGTCTTAGACCCAGAAAGCTATGACATTGAGCGAATATACTCACATCTTCCCCTTTCCCCCACCATCCCAGGCGTGCCCATGTCATGATAGTGCCAGTAATACTCCTCTGTTTCGAGTTTCTCACCACGTCTGCAGCTTTGATGGACCCACGCAGGAAAACGCCTAACTCCGTTTAGTTAGAAGGCTCAAGTTTCCAGCAACGTGCTAGGATCCGCAGCTCAAGCAGATTTTAGCGCTGACGACTGGTTTCCTCCAATAAACAATAATAACAGTGGCGTACGAAATACTACCACGAGTACCGTATTTCGTGAAATTGGACTCGGATCCCCATCTCTCCACAAGTTTCGCTTCAGTTATTCGCAAGCTTCTGAAGAATGAGTTCCTCTTCAAGCATATGCGTTGCGAGTTCTCTTATTGTGGAGTCACTTCCTTCCCATTAGAGAATTCATTTTGAGACTCTTCCATCTGTGTAAACTGTATTTTTAATCTCTCTGTTTAGAAGAACCAACTACAATCATTCCACTTGCCACCACTACATTACCAGCAGCAACAAACACAACTGTTGCCACTACAACCCATGCAGCTGCGACTTCCACACAAGCTATATCTACGCCACAAGCAACTACGGGCAAGCAGCTCAGTGCGGAACCGTCGACATCGCAAACTCAGACCACACTCACTTCTACGGTGCAAACGCAGACGACAGGAAGCCCAATGACGATGACGCCAGCTTCAACAACACAACCTTCAACGACGCAAGCTGCTTCAACGCAAACTTCATCCACACCACCACCGACGACACCAACGCCAACAACGCAACCACCAGTAACGCATGCACAAACGACGCCAGCGCCCACTTCACGACCAACGTCTGCTTCATCGCCCGTGACCACCAGGACTACCCCTCAGACCACACCGCAACCTGCAACGACGCGTAACGTGCCAAGGACGGCTGCACCAGTGGGAGTCCCAACGGAACGCGAAGAGATCGATGCGCGAGTTCTTTGCTCTTTGCCTCCAGACGCGGGACCGTGCTTCGAATATGTTCCTCGATGGTACTATTTGACAACCCCACATATCCAATCTCCAGTCAGTGCATGCTATAGTGTTTAGGTTCTTCAACGCTCAAAGTGGTCAATGTGAACAGTTCTCATATGGCTCCTGTGGTGGAAACGAGAACAACTTTGCAGATAGGTCTGTATGTGAGATCAAGTGTCTGCGAGGTGATTCCTCTTTAAACCTTTTGAAGAAGTTTACCATTTCCATATAGCTAAATATCGGAATTCTCAGCTCATTCTACTCTACTCTCACACGTGCCTGAACGATGCACTTATGAGCGAGACGGAGGCAGTGGCAAAGGCTATAACGTCAAGTGGTGAGTCGTGAAGAGAGAGAGGAAAGACATTCACTATGCCCAAGACTATTTTTTTTTTGAATATTCATAGAAATAATGGATGAATGATCTTGTCACGTAGCTATTACCTCAATATCCGGTGAATCAACGAGTAACGATCAATTGTCAATGCTGATACAACGCTAAAGACACCATGAGCGATGCTTGTTGAGATTTCCGCGGAAGACCCTAGATGTATAAGTATATTCGAGGGAGGTGAAAGCAGTAATGAGCCGACACCTTATCTTACATACCCGTACGACTTGCTGTTTCGATGATGGCGCCTCTTGCGCTAGCTCACTTCCACTTCTGGAAATTCTTTCACCCATCGATAAATGTCAATGCACGTATGATGACCTCAGACTCAGTTCTTTTGCCAGCTTGTTACTATTCATAATGCGAAGAGAGGATTCGCACCTCACATTGAAAATCTAATCGCATTTTTTGTAACCTTTCAGATCTAGAACTGATATATTTCAAGGTATTTCAACATGAAGAACTTGCGATGTGAGCAATTCGTTTATGAAGGACGAGGAGGTAACCAAAATCAATTCGAAACGCTCAGTGACTGCGAACGTTACTGTTCACGTAAGCTACTATATCAATCTACCTCGAACTTTGAGCCACCGAGAACTGTATGATTTCAGCTCAACCTGGGTCACCCAAATATGTCGCTCCACCAACGACTACAACGATTCGCCCACCAGCGCCTCCCTTAGCTCCACAAACACACCCTCGTCCTGCTGCTGGCCAACCACTGCCAGACAGGCAGACAATCGAGGATATCTTGGATTACGATGAGAAAGTTAGTGGAAAACTGAATCATTACAGATAAATTCTCAATTGGCCAATTTAGTTGTCTCATTTCGTCGAGGAATCGTTCACTTCCACGAATACCCCTCCGAATCGTCCAGTCGGCAACACCATCGAAAACAGAGACGCCTCTCTTTCTGCGCCAGCTCCACAACCTCCCATTTCGAACTCCGTCCAGTCTCCAGGCACACAGCCACGACCGCCTGCGGCTCAAGCTGCCAAAACGGTTGTTCACAAAGAAAAGACTCCCGAAAGGTAGGTGCCCATTTGTACTCTCAAAGAAAATCCGTAGATAATTTATTTTACTCATCGATTTTAAATATTATACCATATAAAATTCAGATCTACTGATGTGGCCACCGGACAAGAGCGAAAGAAAGAGATCTACAAGGTTTGCCATGTAGTATCCTATACAACATTTTTTCGAAGTCATTTCTCTTTCAACGGACCAATGGTTTCCTCTTTGTCAGGCCGAACCGCTTCCTCCCAAACCACCTACCACTGGTAACGAAAACCTCCCAATCGTTGGTCCTAGCCCACCGATGTCCGTAAATTATCAAACCGGAGAGGTAACGTTGATTTCAGCTTACCTTNGGGGGGGGGGGAAAGTTGCTTTCACTTCAAAGGGCGAGGAGTTCTTGTCTCGTGCCTTTTTCTTTCGAAAGCTTCTCTTTGGCGGACAATTCATATGCCTTTTTGTTGGTAAACTTTCGTTGCTATGACAGCTTTTTGAGATCTTTATTACAAAACATGTTGATATGTTTTATTCTGGTTTACAAGTATGAAAAGCCAACACCAGTGTGAGCTATAACAGCAAAAACGTACCGATCAGTGCTTTTTTGAGGAACCTTCCGGCGATAGCACCTTCAAAAAGTAAGCATTTATTCATGAGGCCCACAACCATCATATGGATCACTCGTGACGATTTGTATGCTTGTTCAAATTGGGTATGGAAGTATTGTTCAAAGAAAAATCCACATGATCTTTGTATGACGAGAGTTGACTACGCTTGCGCTAACGACAACTCCTTCATTTACTACCAACCCCTTCACCACTTCCCTTCTGTCCGGAACTCTTTTCGTAGGCGGTGCGGAAAGTCGTCACAGCAGCCGTTGATAATAGCAAACTATAAAACGTTCCGTGTGACTTTTGAATGCAGTTAGTAAATCACGCAGCGAAGAGAATGGGTCGTAATGCGGTAATGCGGCGCAACGGTTGAGAAAGAAGGGGCTCCTGGTTAAAGTTCTCTTCTTTGCAGTCTGAGATGAAGGGTCCTACTTCGGTGGCTGTGGTCCCTTTTCGTGGTGCGTTAATTTTGAAGAATGAGAGATGGCGAGGGGGATTCATTTGTCGCTACGAAATTTCCCTGGCCAACGACAAACCGTAATAATTCTGAGGACGGTGTCTGGGAAGTTGTAATTAATTCAGCAAACCAACAGCTAGTGCCACCAACCCTTTTCCTTTTCCCTTTGAGCTGTAACTAGAGATTGAAGAAATACTCTAACGAGTGATGTTGTTCCATAGTGGCCATGTTTTCGAGATGAGGTCAATGAAAATATTGAAGAATGTGGTTGGAAGAATACGCCGTAGCACTTCCATGAACCTCGAATAGCAAAGATGGCAATCACGAGCTGCAGTTCCAGAAAAATGGCAGCGTCAGACATTGTTCCATATGCGCCGGTTTGCGTACAAAGGGCATCGTTATTCGACGGACTGCTAGAAAATCTCTTGGCAGTCCCCATAGTGGCTGCGTCGGAACATGGTTAAAGCTTCAGCCATTTGTTTTCTCCGTCATCCCGAAATACTCGATAACTATTGGTAGCTCTAGATCCTTCTTATTCTAATTGCACGTTTAAAAGATTGAGACATCCTACAACAATACAACAACATTTAACATCACACACCATTTTGAAGAATACTAAGTAGTTAGGACTAAAAATAAGGAAGAAATAGACAGCCGGAGTCATTCGGGAACTCCAGGGACTTCTTCTACACCTTGTTCTGCTCAAAGCATGAAGTCGAATGTTTTAGGTAAAGAATAGGGCGAGCGGCATTCGCACATTCCAGCAATCGGCATCCAGAGTTATTGTCGAGGACTCAGGTGCGCCAGTTGCTGTGAATCTTTTTTCTTTCACCGACTGAAAACATCTGTTAAGACCTCACTGAAGGGGAAGAGTCAAGAAAGGACTTGCTCTCGTGTCCCAATGGACTAAAAGAACTTCGGTACGCTGATGGACGACCGGTTATGTGCCTCCCAGGAAAGAATCAGGTGTGGTATGCCAACTCACTTATGTAGGGTCATTTATTGGAGTTTCGTACTTTGTCTATAAGTTGTTCTGCAATCAAAATAAGGGCGGTTCGTGAACTGATTGAACTATAATACCTGTTCTTTACCGTTCTATTCTCTTACCTATTAGCAGCTCGCTGTTATGGTTATTTTCAGTGCCCGGAAAAATCAGTCTGTTACTTCAATGGAGTGGATTTCTTCTGTTGTCCAAATGAGGAGGATCCTTATGACAAACACGTGTTCGGAGGTATGTTGTCCTCAAGCTATCGTTTCTGTTTGTTTCAGGTCATACTCTAGTACAGAGTATTTTCAGTAAAGGGAACAAACGCGATTGTCGTTTTCAGGTTACGACGGTGAGGAGACAAAGCATGGTTATAAGGTGTTCGGACCTTTGAATATTCGGCGTTTAATGGATGAGGTACCGCTTCGAGCTCGCCGAGAAGCAAGATCGGCTCGAGTCCGCCGTCAAGCCTCAAGCAACGCCTTTACCGCGCCACAAAATTCCTTCAGTATTGACTCCATCACTGCCCCTCTACGTTTTGACGGTGGGTGCGCTCAGTGCTGTAATAGCCATATGACAAGCAGGCTCGTAACCTTGCAGTAAAGAGATTTCCTTCAAGTTTTCTATAGGCACCACAGTTGCCACACAAAACACGTTGCCATCATTTCCTCCCAATATGGCCGTTTTTCCGAAAACCTATTCCTCCTAAAAACTGGCTAGGGCGGTCGGGTCCATACTCAAAGCCAAGTCTTTTAGTCGTTAGAACACGTGTTTGCCCTTTATAGATGAATCTCAATGTCCGATTTTTCTCGTTGCAGAAGAGAAACCTCGAACGGTGTCGAGGGCTCAGCGAATGCGTTCTAATCCTTCCCCACCTCATCACGGTAATCCGATATGTATCGAACCCCTAGCTACTGGAGACTGTGGTGCCGCTCATTTGCGGTGAGTTTTCTTAACTTACTCCCATGCTTCCACTTTTCTTCATAAGCTTCTCATGTGGGAAATTGTAGGTTACCGTGATTCTGAATCTGTGCCTAGCCGTTCGGGTCGTAGTAACTTAGGACTTGATTATTTTAAAAGAAATATAGCTTTCTTCTCATCCCATCCTAGTATTACCAGCAGCATCTCCCTTTAAAATCAGTTAGTGTCCAGAGGTACTGACAGTAAATCACTATATTAGATGCCGAATACGTAATAACGAACATGAATTCAAGATGTTTAGTATTGGACGCAAATGGAAAAATCATTTGAAAAAGAACCTCTCAATGGATGCAAATCATTTAGCACTTTTTGCAGTAGGATGTCGCTTGTGATTAGGGTCCCTGAAAGCGACATGATACGAAAAAGCCAAGATTGCAGATACTACTATGACCGCGACTCAGACAAATGTCGACTGTTCTACTATACTGGCTGCAAAGGGAACAACAACAACTTTGGCAGTATGATTGACTGTCAAAGACTCTGTGTACTTGGTGGACAGAGTGAGTTGCTTTTCTTTTTTAATTGCCGTTTTATCGTTCAAACTCTCACATTGATTGCAGGACCTAGACCGGAATCGGATGCATCTACGCCTCCGCCAGTCCTTCGCGGACAGTGTCCAGATGGCAAATCTCCCTTAGGTGGATCGGCACCAGTGCTATGTGGCAATACGACCGATTCCATTGGTTGCCCTACAGGATTCTTCTGTCTCCATGGTCCCCCTGACATTTGCTGCCCGAACGGCGAAGTGAAAAGAAAAGGTTTTTTGCTCTGTCTTGAAAGATTGTGGTGGTACATCATGTCACAATTCTCTTTTAGTGGAGAAAGGATCTGTGAGATTTGCTCCAGAGCTTCCTGGTGTACCACGAGGTGCGTCATTGAATGTTTTGTAGCTCTTTAGCAGACCACAGCTCTGCTCAATTCTAAGTCAGCCTGAATTTTTCAGCCCACTCTCGCAACGTATTGCTCTCAACCCCCAAATACATGTGTCCTGATGCCTCCGACCCTCTCATGGCCTCCAACGGAGAACCAACGAATTGTGGTGCTGGATTCGATGGGATGAAACTCTGCCCGAAAGGATTTTACTGTGCTATTGATGTCGAGAAACAATGTGCGCCTTTAAAGTCGCCCGGTCGCTTCTTCTTCCTAGTATCAGTCTTCCATTTTAGCTAGAATGTGTTGTCCTTTGTATGGAGCAGCCGAACGAGTTCCCACGGAGCAGGGATCTGCCCCATACTTGGGAAGACGCCCTTCAAATCCTGGTGAAGTTTTAGAGCGAGGATCGCTGCCGTCGGATCAATCCGAATACATATCCAGAACAAGGAAAGGTAAGGGGGATATTCTTACGTTGTAACATTTTATCTCAGCTGACATTCATAACTTTTCTCTTGATTCTACAATTTTTCATAATCATGCCGTCTACTTACTGAAATGTAGTTAATGTACGAAGTATGTGGTCCTGAGACCCCAACATGACTATTTCGCGATTGTTAGTGATGCTCCACTGGCTTAGAAGGGGAATTCATCTCTGGAGAAGGGATGATTGTGACCGTCAAAATCCGGCAATACGTTCTTCCTCGAAATGTTCTACAAATTCTTTTTTCTTTCGAGAATTTAGTTGCAAGTCCGTCATAGATGAAACCTTTTGTAGAACAAATGCAAGAACGACGGCGTCAGATGTTGGAGACCACAACTTCCGTTTTCGCTGAAGAATCAGAGGAATTCGAGGATGGAGAAGATGAGGAAGATGAGGAAGAAGGAATGGCTCATCTTATGCTAAAACCTGCTGAAAATAGCCAACCGAAGGGTTGAGTAGATTTGAATTTCTTGTGCAATGTGCTTCATCTTATGCGTATGTTTTTGTAGCCACCCCCGCCACTTCAACGGCGCTGCCCGAATCTGAGGATCATCACATCATCGACCTTCCTACTGAGCCACCAACAGTAGAAGAAGTGCATCCCGTAAAGACAGCTGAAGATAAATCTGTGTGCCAAATCAAGCCTTCGGAAGGTTAGAACTGAAAACAATTTATTCCATTACTTGCCTCGAAATGTTCAAAATGAATTCATACTCCTTTGCAGGACGGGCTTGTCGCGAAGACGAAAAGCCACCTCGAACGAACCTGCACTACTTCTACTCACCCAAAGACCGTCGTTGTAAACTCTACTTCTTCCGTGGCTGTGGCGGAAATGCGAATCGGTTTGAGAAGAAAGCAGACTGTGAACGTCTCTGCTTGTCGTAGGTGAGTTGCCGTAGGATACTGTAAGAGATAAAGGATAAAGTTTAGGGGCGTTGATCAATCATGTATGAGGGATGCTCCCACGCATTCGACTTCCATTCAGAATCGTAGTGGCGTATTGAATGCGTATGTGGCCTATACAATGACTTGCGGTGGCCAGCCGATGTACGAGTCAAAGCTTTTATCCTCCTAGACTAGTCTGGCACCAATTCACCGACCGCTGAGGGATGGAAGGTTCAGTTGGCTTAGGCGGTTATCAATCCGGAATCTGAATCCGTGACCATGCGTGTGTGAAGTGTGCCACCACCCGCTGTAGGAGATAGGTAGTTGAAAAGGGATGTCTCTTGAACTCATCGTAATGCTTGGATTTCACGCATGAAAGACTTCCGTGAGGACCTCGTAGGGGACGATTTGTCAGTCAATTTGTAGTTGCCAGTTTTTGGATTTGATTGTTTCCTATTGTGGCCCATTCTGTTAACTTGATGATAGCGACGTTAGTGGTTTTTGCTTGATCAATGCCGATTTCTCTGATAACCTCAACACAAATGACTCTAGAAAATTGCAATTGCTTCTAGAAAGCTATAATTTTTCATGATGATTGAATACCAAATTTAAAAGTACTTTTAGGAACTACTGTCACCGCCTCCCAATGTTCGACACGTGTAGATTTGTGCTTTCCCAGAATATCACTGTTACATTCCGTTGTTTGGTGCGATCATTCTCTCTCGAGTATTCTTTTATTTCCGCTATATTTCCGTAGGCCAGCCCATCACGTAATCAGTGATGCTGTCTCACTGCTGTTTCTGCAGATTATACCGTCTTTTCAACTTTACTTTCGTCTTGATATCGTTCGTGTAGCGTCAGGTCTTGCCTGTGTGCAATTATTGTGCCTTATTGAATGTGTTCTTTCATTTTATTAATAAATCTCCAAATTTCATACATTGTATGTCTCGAAACCTATAACTAGGGAGAGCGATGCTGATAGGCACGACTACTGCGTTAGTTGGTGGCCATATTCCTTTCTACAAATTTCAAGGTCGCTGATATGGAATGTCAAGTGATGGGAAATGAGTGATTCTGTTAGCTCGTTCCCTTTCACTTCATCAAACAGCAAGGTTAGTTTCTAATAGTTTTC